ATTCGGATTCCATTATTTAGTAGTCTTTTGGTTTTTCACTATGTGTTGAAGTCTTCAACTGCAGTAAGCGAGGTCAATCTATCCAGAACTGACTATCTGACGACACCTGAGTTTATGTCCATGATGTTGGGCAGGCAAGCCCACAAGCCTTCCCTGAGCCTGTAGGGCCTCACGCTACCAGGCAGAAAGAATTACTCCCATGGCTATTATGCAATTAAATGAACTACTGGTAATAGTGAGATTGGCCTAGATATTTAATTTCATGTAACCATTTTTAATCTGATCTTTGAAAAAAGGAGGCATTATAAAAGTGTCTAAAGGAGTAGTCAAGCAGTCTAGGTGTGTTTCATCTCTGATGTCTCCTTTAATCCATGATTATATCCATATTTCCACTATATTGCTCAGACAGAGGTTTTTGTCCATTCACAATATCCTTGTTTCAACTTCCTGTGATCAGTGACATATCATCCACAAACGTCAATGACTTCAGTTTTGTAACACAATTATGGGTACATCAGGAAAACAGAAGTGGGCCTAACACAGAGCCTTGAGGGTTTCCCTTGTTTGGTGACCCTTAATGAGGGGAGATTGAGAACATTCAATTATAAAGGAAGGTTTTTTCTGGCTGACATGATCCTGGATTTACATTCTTGTTGGTACTGGAGGAACATCTCAATTAAATTCTAGGAACAAGGGTATGAGCAGGGTTATGGTAAGCTATGGGGTTGCGAAGTTGCGATTTCAACTGTCCTTTCATGAAAATGTTAGGGATTCATACAGTACGTATTTTAGTAGTGTTTTACATTAGAGCATTAGTGTTACGGATAGAGGAAGGGCTATGGAATATTATTCTAAACATCAAGCTGACGTCAAGCTTTTTGGGAACTATGATGTTAAGTGTGTTGGAACAAATTTACATTAGTAGAATACACAAATCAACATCCATATGTTTAATTCACAGTAACTGGCTTTCATAATGCTATTACTATCAAAGTTTTTTCATTTTACTACACGTCTATCGTTTAATCCAAATAATCTTAAAGTTTAATCAATTAGCATGTCTATAGTAGGACTGTCCTTACAGTTGTTTCAAATGAAGTACAGGCCATCATTCTTGAGCATATGGTTAACAGAGCAGAGGCATTACCATAGAGACTGCTAGGTTAGTTAACCATAACCTACAATTATCTACATGTCCGCTTACTCTTCACAATACTTTTACGGTATAATAAATGGCATTACTGTATAAAATAGTGAATAAAGTATGAGGGAAACGTCTCAATGTGAGTGGCTAAATATGAAGATGGCGTGGCAAGCTGTACAGCATTTCTTGGATCATATGACACTGAAAACCTGATTGTTTTTCAAAATAAACTCTAGTAGGCCTTTCAGGTAGAAGAAATCCCCTGTCTTGGATTATTGTGTGAGGACAATGTCAGTTTCCATCATGCAGAGCTGGTTTGGGAACAGTTTCAGGATCATCTTCGGTTCATGACCCTGTCTCTCGCCATATTACCTTTCCTCAACCCACTGAGGAACACTTCTGCTTGGAGGAGGAAGGTGTATGATGGCCAATAAGCATATCATGACATTCCCATGTCACACTCCTCCACGCAATAGATTAGGCTTGCAATGACAACAGAGCAATGTAAAGTATGAAATAATCATGCATGAAGGTTTTTCCCATGGCGAGATATTCATCAAGGATATTCACAGTGGATGATGTTGATTAATATTTGGCCAAATGTTAAAGACAGGCTTCACTATTAATTCATTTGAGATTTACCATTTACAGCTAAGTATTTAAATGTATTGTTTTACAATGCAACCACTGTATTGTTGTAAAAATACTGTAAAGGATTATTAGGAACACCATACTAATACTGTGTTTGACTTCCTTTCACCTCCAGAACTGCCTTAATTCTCCGTGGCATTGATTCAACAAGGTGCTGAAAGCATTCTTTAGAAATGTTGGCCCATATTGATAGGATAGCATCTTGCAGTTGACGGAGATTTGTGGGATGCACATCCAGGGCACGAAGCTCCCGTTCCACCACATCCCAAAGATGCTCTATTGGGTTGAGATCTGGTGACTGTGGGGGCCATTTTAGTACAGTCAACTCATTGACATGTTCAAGAAACCAATTTGAAATGATTCAAGATTTATGACATGGTGCATTATCCTGCTGGAAGTAGCCATCAGAGGATGGGCACATGGTGGCCATAAAGGGATGGACATGGTCAGAAACAATGCTCAGGTAGGCCGTGGCATTTAAACGATGCCCAATTGGCACTAAGGGGCCTAAAGTGTGCCAAGAAAACATCCAACACACCATTACACCACCACCACCAGCCTGCACAGTGGTAACAAGGCATGATGGATCCATGTTCTCATTCTGTTTACGCCAAATTCTGACTCTACCATCTGAAATCGAGACTCATTAGACCAGGGAACATTTTTCCAGTCTTCAACTGTCCAATTTTTTTGGTGAGCTCTTGGTCTTCTGCTGTTGTAGCCCATCCGCCTCAAGGTTGTGTGTGTTGTGTCTTCTTCACAAATGCTTTACTGCATACCTCGGTTGTAACGAGTGGTTATTTCAGTCAAAGTTGCTCTTCTATCAGCTTGAATCAGTCGGCCCATTCTCCTCTGACCTCTCGCATCAACAAGGCGTTTTCGCCCACAGGACTGCCACATACTGGATGTTTTTCCCTTTTCACACCATTCTTTGTAAACCCTAGAAATGGTTGTGTGTGAAAATCCCAGTAACTGAGCAGATTGTGAAATACTCAGACACCAACAACCATGCCACGCTCAAAATTGCAGTTGCAGTTCAGTTTGGAGTTCAGGAGATTGTCTTGACCAGGACCACACCCCTAAATGCATTGAAGCAACTTCCATGTGATTGGTTGATTAGATAATTGACCTTTCGCCGGCCCCTCCCACAAAATGGCCATTGTCCAATCACACATCATAGCAACCGTTACTGTGTGAGCTGTTCCGTCAAACAGTAAGCGGTGCGCCCACGGCGTTAGTAAATCGGACACATGATACCCCGAGAGATTGTCTGGAGAAGTTGTGTTTTTTCCCTTTCCAAAGCCCAAAACACAACGCGAGCCGTGCCTAAGATGTATTAAACAGTGTGGACGCCCCAATTCCAGTTAAATGTGTCGAACATGGTTAACTCGTCTCGCGTGCAGCGTGCGTGCGACTGAGATTAGTCAAAGAAGCACGGAGAAAGCAGATCAAGAGGATCCACAAAGGACTTACTGTACATTTTCTAAAGGGTTGTTGTTAACATACCATGATATTCTCTGGGAAAATGAGCAGCAGTCAGCTAAGTTAGCAGTGCAGCACCGTAGACTACAGTTTAGAGGACGTTCGCAACGGGGAAAGCATGAAGCTTACATGACAACATCAGTTCATATATCAATATCGTAACGAATAGAAATAACCTTAAATAACGTATGGTTCTCTGCCTCTTTCCGTCTCTTATGCATAACGTTAGTTACTTTTTAAACACGAAAATCGCATTCAGCATAAGCATGACACGCAATCGGTTGCTGTGGTAATGAACAACCTGCTTGTTAAAGCGAACGTGCTACTCCTGTATCGGAGGCAAACTGAATAAATATGCAGCGCAAGTTATATATTTCGAACTCCAAACAATTAGCCACTGAACCAGTTTATAAAATCTTCAAGGCTGTGCTGGTTGCATTTGAGGTAACTTAGCATGGTCATGGGGTTTTTCTGATTTTTCTTGAGACTGGTAAGCATTAGCATCAATAGTAGTCGTGTCTCATTCATTTCTTAATTTTATATTTGGAATAAATCCCTCCACCGCATACCGTAACCCCTTTTGCTTCGATCTTGCTTGATATCGCGGAGGTATTGCTCCAAAAAAGGTCACTGACACGCACGGGAATACCCTTTGCCGTCATGGCAATCTGTCGCGCTGCCCGTGTTTGACCATTTGTTTGACGGAGGTAGCAGCAGTAACTAAGGGGGGCGGGGCTCGGCGAAAGGCTAATTGCATTAATGGGAAATTGAACAGGTGTTCCTAATAATCCTTTAGGTGAGAGTAAGTGTATTCTCTATTCTGATGACTGTGCCAGCTGTAGTCCAGTACATTAGCATTTATTTAAGCACCAAGAGGATATGAAACATGTAAAACAACGACTTTTTACAAAATACCACTTGTGAACACAGAACCAAAATCATCTAAAAAAATCCAATCAGCAAGCAGAATCCTAGTCATCCAAGAGTGTAGGGTGCAATGGGGCTAAAGGCACACCTTAAGGAAAATGTGCTCACTCCTCCAGGGGTCTCCAACCCTGCTCCTCCTGTAGAGTTCAGCTCCAACCTGATCTCCTGAACGAGATACTCAAGGTGTTCATGGTATAACAGGGAAGAGTGTTGGAGCAGCGCTGGAACTGGAGTCTGCAGGAAGACTATGAAGAACAGGGACTCGCAATTTAACCCATCCAAGTTAGTGGACACACATTAAGAGCAGTGAGTAGTGAACACACACACACTGGAAGCCAGTGAACGAACACACACACAGCAGTTGGCTGCCATTTTGCTGTTCCTTGCTCAAGGACACCTCAGTCATTTCCTGCTCGTATTGAGAATCGAACCCTTCGGGCAACATGACATCATTACGTAAACATACACGCCACTTTCAAGTCAAGTGGTGAGTTATCTATACACATTTTGAGCTATCCGCGTGTATGCGTGTACGTCTACGCCGTTAAATGTCCGAGTGATTCCGCGTGTACGCACACGCCGTTAAATGTCCGAGCGAAACGAAGCAAAATGTAGATCTACATCTGGGGAGCGATCTTTTTTTCCTAGTATGGTAGAGGAAGACTCATAAATCGTATTAACCCAAGTGACGGGTAGGTTTAGGGACGGGGTTGGGGTAGGTCATATATTTGTACAGTAATGTAACGTTAAGTCAACGGTGTTCATAAACACGCTGAAAAGCGATTATGCGTGTTGATAGCACGCCAAAAATGGAAATACGAATTGCCGCGTCATACATACGCCACTTCATGAGATCAGTCTGTTTCGGGTTACAATTCCAACTCTCTAACCATTAGGCCATGACTGCCTGTCCCTGTATAGTGTAAGATTGCTAACACACACACACACACACACACAAACAAAACAAAAATTGAACATTGATGTAGCAACACATTTTGTAAGAAAATAAATCATAAAAGTGGGTTGTTTTGTTTAAAAATCGTATAAATGTACAATGTGGAACTATTGCCTCACATTCTTCAGTTATTGAAACACCAATAACCAAACATTATTAGCACGATCTTAATTTAAAATACATTTACCAATTGTAAAGATGATCAATTTGCTATATAAATCTATAAATAAAAAGAACACATTCAATATTAGATCACATTAGCGCAGAATAAGCTTTGCTGACTGTGATGGTGTCTAGAAACCATGCTGTGGGTGTGTAGGAAAGTGCAGTGGTGATTTGTAGTACCATCTAGTGGTTTAGAGGATAGCCAGACCGGAAGCTAGTGTGGAGATTATAGGGTTAGTGATGGGGCGGATTCAGCAATCGTCGGGCTGAGACTGTATGGTGCAGCGGCTCTGTAATCTCCTTTAACTCCAGTGCATCCTTAGCCCTGTTGTACCCTACATCCGATATCTGCTTGCACATGTCCTCAAGATCAATGCCAGGATTTGAATCCGGCCTGGATCATATCATGTTGTCTTTTTACTTTCAATCAATGGCAAAAAACTATTTTCTTTTACTTTTGTTAATATACTAGCAGTAAAATATGCCACAACAACAATCCAACTCAAGGCAACTCAGCAGTACACAGACCAATAGATGAGATTGAAGAATATAAAGGCCCCGGGGAAGATCATGCGAGAGTAGGCATCAATGGCGTGAGTGTTTTGGATGATACGGAAGCCTCTGAGGGTCTTCTTTTTGGCTGCTGTGGCCTCATTTGCCAAAGACAGGCACACCACCATGTGTTCCTGTTTATCCCCAGAGGAGACGGGATCTTGGGTATATCCTGCCAGGCCATTGACATCAGACTTACCGTACGCGTCATCGAGCAGCATAGTCCTTGTGTGAGGTAAAGGCTAAAATGGGTAAACACAAACACTTTCGTTACCATGGTTGCAGAGTGCAAGATATGGCTTATTTAAATTAGGCTTGACTAAGACAAACAGGTTGGTCACTTAATATTACCTAAAGTTGTGTAACTTTCAACAAGAGGAAAGTACAGTAAGACAAACTGAATATCTGAAAATGATTGAAATTCATTTACCTTCTCTCTTAACTTGCGATCCTTCCCATCATGCACTGTGGTCAAGTAGTTTACGGCAGCATACTCAAGTACCGATAAAAAGACGAAGACGAAGCTGACCCACAGGTAGATGTCCACGGCTTTGATGTAGGAGACTCTGGGCATGGAGGCGTTCACCCCAGTGATGATGGTGGACATGGTGAGCACCGTCGTAATGCCTACCGAGAGATCACAGTCAAATTCTCCCACAAATAGTGTCACTATTTCATCTCCACACCAACTATCCATTTTGCATATTAATTATGTGTCTTTTTCTTGTCTGCACTGTGGCATGTTTTATGATTTTAAGGGATCGTTCACTCAAAAATGAAATTTCTGTCATTAATTGTTCACCCTCATGTCGTTCCAAACATTCGTTCATCTTTGGAACACAAACCAAGATATTTTTGATTAAATCAAAAAGCTTTCCGTCCCTCCATAGACTACAACGTTATTATCACTTACAATGCCCAGAGACGTAGTAAAGACATCTTTAAATTCACACAGTCAGATTAACAAATAAAGGCGGGCATACACTGTGCAATTTTCGTCATATTTTCAGCCGAATTCTGACTCGTGCGACTCTTTTTCGCGTCGGACCGATTTTCAGCTTTGTCGTTTGTCGTGCAGTGTACAGGGAGAAACGAGAGGCGATTAACCTCTCACGGATGAATTTCTGGCATGTCAGAAATTTTGGTCGCTCCTCGTGACTATATCGCACAGTTGAAGCAAAGCTACGAACCGATTGCCCTAAACTCAGTGTTTTTTCCCCTCACTGCGCCTGCGCGAAAACAGAAGTTTAACCATTTCATCTGCAGCAAAAATAAAATTTAAATAAAAACGAAAAGAGGGAGATCTTTAAGTTCCGTAGTTCAAACTAGCTACAAATTACTGTTGCTTACCTCCAGTTCGTGTTGCAAAATGGATAATATTACCCACGTCTTCCAAGCCACCTGCGATGTAACACCTTATTAATTTGCGTCAAACAATGTTTTTGAAATAAACCTGTTTTTAATTTTCATTGATGATTAATTATGGCAATGTTCGGACATATTATAGACTGTTAATAGTTTTTTTATATGTCTATAATTCATTGTAATCGACCTAAATGTTTTAGACAATTTTTAATGAGGAGTAAGATTATGTAATATTATCCTCACAGCACGTTGGTTATGTGCTGTGAAAATATTGCGTGGCAAATTAATTATAATAGCGGATCAATTTAATAATAAAATTAGCCTATAGGCCTCCCCTAATAATGATAATACAATAATACTAATAATAATTAAATGCATAAATTGAAAACGCTAAATCATATTGATACTGATAGCAAATGCTTGTTTTGACAATATCCCTGGATACATACACGTAAATGCGCAATCCAGGGGGTTATCGCAGATATTACACGTATAGTGTGAGCTGTGAAGTCGCAGCTCGACGATCGGACCGTACAGTGTGAGCACATAAACCCTGAACTTTGCCTTTGCATCGCATGTGATTTACTCGTTGAGTATGAGTAGGTACCTTGCTGAAATCACACAGACATCGCACAGTGTATGCCCGGCTGCCCGCCTTAAGTCAGATAGAATAAATGCGTATTTGGCGTGCTGTCCGAGGAGGGCTCCAGGCTCGGTATGCGTCCCGAACACAGAGTACTCCCCCCGTATTGCTGGTTAAAGGGTTAGTTCACCCAAAAATGAAAATTAAGTCATTAATTACTCACCCCCATGCTGTACCAACCCCGTAAGACCTTCGTTCGTCTTCGGAACACAAATGAAGATATTTTTGATTAAATTTGAGAGCTGTATAACTACCACATTGGCTCCTAAGGGACTGCCTCTTGACGGCCCAGAAAGTCAATGAAGAAAATGTTTAAATATCCCAAGTGACTACCGTGGCTCAACTATATGTTTATCAAGCGACGCGAATACTTTTTGTGCGAAAAAACAAACAAAAATAACGAGTTTATTCGACTATTTCTTTTCTTCCTTGTAGGCCAGAACGAGAATTCCTTATAGATTTCCACGACGCATGCGCGAGATTTGCGATCTGCTCACACCAGCTTACACTACTTCAGATCGCAATTCTCGCGCATGCGTCGTGGAAATCTATAAGGAAGTCTCGTTCTGGCCTACAAGGAAGAAAAGAAATAGTCGAATAAACTCGTTATTTTTGTTTGTTTTTTCGCACAAAAAGTATTCGCGTCGCTTGATAAACGCTGGAGTTGGAAGAGGTGTTTCGCGATTCTGTAGGTTCGTGGATCTGAGTCGTGTGGTGAATCGCGATTTCGGTTTCATATTGCATATCGTTACAGCCCAAAAGTTAAGTTCTACTTAGTTATTTTGGTGAAAGTAACTCAAAAGTAATACATGAGTAATGATAACGCATTACAATTCTGGGACAGTAATATTGTAAGGTAATGAATTACTTTTAAATAACAGTAACAAGTAATACCTAATGTATTACAGTTTGGAAGTAACTTGCACAACACTGATTATCGGGCGGCTCCTGAGTCAGCATCACACGCACACAATGGCTGTGACAGTTGCAACTCATTTCATTTGTATTTATGAAACTTGCATTTGTCCACCGTCAATACTTTAATGAGCAGAAATGAAAAGTTCAACATCATCTGCATGAATCTTTAGTCTCAGAAAGCAGTAATTGATTAATTTACTGGGATCTCATGCTAAATAGTTTTCAACCTTGATTCAAATACAGAGCAATTAATAAACCAAATCCCCTTCAGTAGTTAGCATTGTTATATTTGGCTGTCCAAAATAATTAATAGGCTATTCTTGAACGTAACACAATATTCTTAAGATTATAAATGAGAGTATTTGTATCTAGAACTGTCAGATGCAATGTTAATCAACAAAAACTGTTAAGTTTTACAACCCCACTGTTTTCACCTAACGAGACTCTGGCAGGAACGGCTCGTCGGTCGATCCAGAAGGACACCCATGACAGCATGACCATCAGAGTGGCGGGAAAGTACGTCTGAAGCAGGAAGAAGAAGATATGACGACGCAGAGTGAAGTTGATGTACAGACGATTGTACCAACCTGCAGGAGATATGAAATTAGAGCATAGAGTAAAAGAAAAAGAAAAGTATTCCCATTCTGAAGACTTAATCCTTAAAAAGATAGTTCATCCGAAAATTTTGTGTTATTTCTGTTATAATTTACTCTTGTTCGTTATGTTGTTCCAAACCCGTAAGACTTTCATTGATCTTCAGAACTCAAATGAAGATATTTAAAAATGAACCAATGAGGTTCATTCTCGTGTTACGCATCACGTTTGAGCTTACATACAGCCGCCGGCGGCAAAAAATAACTGTTGTTCTTAAATGTTAAATAACATTCGATAAATAACATTCGATTAAATAAGATATCGGGTTAATCGCGTTTGGACATTCAGAAGCTCCGTAGTGAATGTGATTGCGTCATCAATTTTTGATCAGCATTGATTCGTCAAAGAAACCCGCGCGTTTTTTTTCCTCTGAGCCAATCATAAATGACTGTTAATGCTTAGTCCCACCCCATCCCCAGATTGGTTAAAACTATCATCTACTCAACCAATAAATATAGTTCTTGGTCTTTTGCACGACCAATTAGCATCTTTCTTTAGAAATTTGAACAGAGGTAAAGTCAAAGTAGTTCATATAGGCTATGTATGTATGTATGTATGTGTGTGTGTGTGTGTGTGTTTATATATATATATATAAGTTTTATTTATATATAAGTTTTTTTTTTTTTTGCTTCATTGTTCTACTACAATGTTTCTATTTATGTTACTTCCTTAACTTTTTTGGACACATCTAAATTGTCAGTATGAAAAACACTGTTTTCACTGAAACAATGCTTTTCACTGAAAATCGCCTATAATAATGTTGTAATAAATACCTATAACTTGCTTAGGGATTGTTGCATGTAGTCAAAATTACATCTGGAAATGTAAAATATCCAAGTACAGCTTTCTAAAGGAAAAAATCCAAACTTCAGGAGGATTTGTTTGAGTTGAGTAAAAAAAATCACTACAAATATGCTGCCGTTTTTCTTAAATCTGGTAAATTCATCCATTCTAAGACAAATTAAATGTAAAATTGGATTATTTAAATGAGATATATTGAAACTTCAAGTTCTCCTGATAAAAATGATATATGGCACTTGATGCTGACTGCTATAATGGGTTAGAAAAAAACAAGCGGTGCAGGTGCTCCAAAAATGGTCTAGGTCTTTAAGGGTTAAGCAACATGACATCATGACTTTTGCGTAAACGTATACGCCACTTTCGAGTCAGGTGGCGTGTTATCTCTACGCATTTTGAGCTATCCGCGTGTATCCACGTGTATGCGTATATGTCTACGCCATTAACGTCCGAGTCATTCCGCGTGTCTGTACACGCAGTCAAATCTCCAGTCATAAATGCCATTAACCCCAGTGACGGTTAAGTTTAGGGATGGGGTCGAGGTAAGTCATATCTTTTTTTTCCTTGGATGGTAAGGGAACAGTCATAAATGCCATTAACCCCAGTGACGGTTAGGTTTAGGGACGGGGTTGAGGTAAGTCATATATTTATATAACGTTAAGTCAACGGCGTTCATAAACACGCTAAAAGGCGATTATTTAAATGGAAATACGAATTGGCGTGTCATACACACGCTACTTCATGAGATCAGTCTGACAGTTTAATAAACAATAATTTAATTACAACTGCAAAATGTTGCAGAATAATGTAATATATGAATGAATAATAACCTATAAAGAACCTTTGTGCCAAAGGGGTTCTTTCTTGTCATTATCATCATTTTTTTGCATAAAAGGTCCTTTGCAGTTGAGTAAAGAACCCTATGCTTCATATATAGAACCCTTTTTTCTAAGAGTATTCTGTTTGCATGAGCTCCAGCTTAATCACATTATAAGTATGCCCATAAACAGAAGCCACTGATGACCAAACTCAAAATAAGATGCAAGTCACTATAAAGTTAAAACTACATTCAAATCAGATGCCAAATAAACAGTTTTGACATTTATTTGCATGCAGTGGTGGAATGTAACGAAGTACAAATACTTCGTTACTTTACTTAAGTACATTTTTCACGTATCTTTACTTTACTTAAGTAGAATAAATAGTGCATACTTTTTACTTTTACTTCGTTACATTTTGCAGCAATTATTATACTTTCTACTCCACTACATTTCTACAATTTCTGTTACATTTTCGTTACATTTTCTGATCAGTTTTTCCCCTGCCAAAATGTAATGTTCGTTGCACGTTTGTCTCACCAGTGACGTTTGGTTGCCATAGATACATCAACTAAATGCGTCTGTGTTTATCGTGTAATTTATATGCGAAAATTAGTTTTTACGTGCATAGGAAACGCACCGTGTGTAATATACGTTTGGTTAGGATTATGGCAAGCCAAGAGGTTCAGAATTACACCATAAATTAATCGCGTTTACTGCCAAACATAGTTATTAACATATAGTAAGGATAAGCATGATGTGTATATTGCCTAATTGCAAGCTTGTTTCAGAAATGGTGACATTTTTTTCCATCATTATTGAACATCATTATAGGAGTAGGCTATTAGGTTGAATGAGTTAGAATTAAATGTTTTATTAATCATTAGAAAATAGACATTAAGATAATAAATTGTTATGCAAGTACTTTTACTTTTAATACTTAAAGTACATTTAAAACAAAGTACTTTTTACTTTTTACTTAAGTATGGTTGTCATTGTGTTACTTCTACTTTTACTAAAGTAAATATTTATCTGGGTATTTGTACTTTTACTTAAGTACTGAGATTCAGTACTTCCTCCACCACTGTTTGCATGCAACACAAATACAATTTGTCCAAGATGTCTGGGAAACTAATAAACCAGGACAGGTCGTTATGCACTAGCAGACAACCCAAAACAACTTTCCTCTTGTAAAGATAAGCGTGTGCACCTGTGCTGCTGTAGAAGGCCAGTCTGGAGGTGGTGTGAAACTTCTGAATGAGGAACTGAGACAGGGAGATCTTGTCATCCGTGCTCAGAGATTCATCTCCACTCTTCCAGTAGAGCATCAGGTCTTCATCAGTGTAGGCATCTGGACACACACACAGCAGATGAACGCATGTTTGCAGACACTCAAGAAGTGATTCTGGACATCAACGTCGGGAGAAGTGTACGTCACTCACAGCTCTCCAGCTCTAACGTGCAGGTCTGCGTGTCCAACGGGAACCGGCTGAAGTCCATATTACACGCTGAAGTTACAGTCACCCTGACGCAGCGAAAATCACTTTCAAAACTGGCAGAATAAAAGCTACATCAGGTTCAGGCGTCCAAGCACTTGAGCAGTACTGACCTGAGGCTGTAGAGCACGTGTCCGTCGGGGTACACCCTGATCATGATGTTCTCCGTGGTGGTGTCGTGGATGAAGGATCGTTTGGAATGGACAAAGAACACGTCAGGAACCCAGATTTTTTTCACCAATCGACCATCAAAAGTCATGCTTTTATTGGTTTTACTGGGAAAAGATAGTCGCTCGTCCTTCCAGTAGTGTCTCAGGTACAGGGTCATGGTGAAGTCCTGTATGAAGAGCACAACATGGATTGACTTTTCAAGCTCATTGTGTGTTGTTTAGTTCGATAACAATAATACTTTCTCCTATCCCAGAGTAATCTGACACCGTGTCCTAACTACACGCGACGCCGCGACACGCGATAAAAGGTATCTTTTCTCCACGTTAATCAGAGTTTTTGTCCTAACCAGACGCGACGGCGACACGCGAAGTTTCTAATTTAGAAACGGTTCCTATTTCTGCGACGTCGCGGCTGACAGAATGAAGAAATTACACTGGTTATGAGTATACATTATTTATTTTTAGTTAAAAATAGGTCACTGTGCCACAAGCGATAACGGATAATTTACCTCAGATTTTGAAAGCATGTAATATAGCGTTCAAAATGAATTCTATGCAAACATACAACTGTACTTCATAACAAAATTAGTCAATGAGTATATTTTGTTAATGTTTTGATTTTTAATAATGTTATTTCTTGATTTGATTATGTCCTTACCCATATTCAATGCGAGTGCGGGCCAACAGTGCACTTTCACAGAGAGACTCATACACGCTGTTCTGAATGTGTGGCTTCTCACAGTCGCGTCGCGTTGCTGTCGCTGGAATTTATCGCGTCGCGTGTAGTTAGGACACTAAAAGTACGCCATTCTTATGTCAATTGTGGCTCCGTCAAAACATTGTTAATTTTGTTTGATCAGCCCTTTCAGAAACTATTCATATTTTGATACATCAGGCTTTTATGGTGCATAGAGTCATATCTCAAAGAGAACAGTATAGCAGATACATAAGAGTTATACATTTCAGCTGTCACTCTATATCTGCCAATAAAAGCGCTGTAGTCTTAAAACATATGATGCAATGCAGTACAATAAAGATTGAGAGATGATGATCATATTTGATACTCAAGGATAATCAAGTAAACCTAATTGCTTCAGTCCAGTAGGTGTTCATTATGAAAGTTATTCTTGCATTAATTCGCGTTTAAAATTAGTAGAGATTTCACAGCAAAAAGACTTGGAGGTGGACGTTTTTACAATTACACTAACAGTACTTTTATTGCTAAAATAGTATGTACTATCAATCAGAGGGTAGGTAGAAGGTGGCTTGTGTACAACAGGTTTTTGCAGCGACGATTTGATCATTGATAATTTAACAGCCTCAAATCAAGAAGTAACATTATGAAGTACATGTCCAGAAACTTCTCTTTCATTGCAGCTGAATTTGAGCAGATGTCCAGATTCACATTAATATTCAATATTCATGCATGGTTTTACACTGAGCCAGTATTATCTCAAAGAATGACCCAGTAATGTTTGTTAATTTGTGGCTGGCTGAAATCACAGTGGTCTTATTACTAAAACTGTACCATCAGATCATGTGATCTCAACCATGACAGACGACGACCCCTTTAGTAGAATAAAACCGCTTAGTTCACCTTTACCAATGCAGATTAGTAAAAAACAAAAATAGCTTAGTCCGATTTAAGCCTGAAAAAACGGGTTCACTTTATTTTGATGGTCCATTTTACACATTTGTCTACACACATGTCTACACACATAGCAACTGCCATTAGAGTGTTAGTAGAGTATTATAGACTGGTAGTAGTTACTTATAGTCAACAGACTGTTCAAAGGGACCATCAAAATAAAACGTTACCAAAAATGTATGCAAGGTGTTGACATGCATTTCCAAACTGCTTAAATCCTTGTGAAATATTACCATCTGTTGGCATAACTGAGGGATGTCTTCATCGAGCCGGATGGACTGCACATTCTGATTGGCTGATTTATTGTGATGTCACAGGGTAAACCTCATGGATTACCCTCTACGTGACTCGTTGCACATTATGTAACAAATCCACACTGGCACTGATATGATTAATAAAAGCATATCATGACACATCTCAGGGGATATTAAATCACAGGCGCTGAGATCCATATCTAATCTATGCAATCTTCTCCCGATTGAATAACAATCACATTCTCATTACAGAAATGGGTAAAAATGATGCATTATTTCAAATTTAAAGTATTTATGTATCAGTTTCATAAATGCTGAGTTTGTTATTTGCAAAGAAAAAACTTAATGGCTACATTTTATGTATGCAAAACATTTTGTTTGTTTATGTGATATGGCTGAATAATCCATAACAATGCCAGATCTTACCATATCTACTTCTGAGATGCTGTCCAAACTCTCCACCTGTACATCCACACCCACTGGCACTGCTGGACCTGAGAAGAAGACAACACTGTTAGTTAGAATCTGCACTTTGATATTTCAAGGATTAATAAAAATCACCCCCATGACATAAATAATAACCGTGAAACAAGAACACTCAAGTTATTAAAAAAGCTTTTAATCATTTAAATAGGATCATTAAATATCACGGACGTATTACGCTAGAAGAGCATTCATCAAGGTGTGGATTTCAGATAAACCGACTATTTTAACAAAGAGATATTGTATATGATCTTGCAACAATGTTTACCATATGTTAAGCCCTCATTTGAAAAGAAGTGGAAAAAAGCATTTAGTCAGTCGTTGTCTGTCTCCACCTAGTGTTAACCCTTAGACATCACATCAACGGACCGTTGGCTGACTGTCTGTTGAAAACACTTTATGACTAGCCATCTGGGAGACGTGTTTGTCCTCAGTGTTGGGTAAGTTACTCTAAAAAATTAATTTATTACTAGTTACTAATTACCTCTTCAACAGTGTAATTAGATTACTGTACTAATTACTCTCTCTAGGAAGTATTTAATTACTAATTACTTTCAAAATCCCATATGAATCTCAACCAGCTGAATAATTCAAGGACATGAATCTGTTTTAATTCTTTCAAATAAATACTATAAAATTGGTTACATCATAAAAACATACTTTTTAACATCAGACAATACATTTTGATGTTAAACACACTATTGTTTTATGTCTGATCTCATGACATGTCACACTTTTTTCATACATATTTTACAATAATTCATACGAATTTGTACGTCGTACGATTTAGACACCTCATAAAATGCATACAATTCGCTGTGAGATCGGATTGATTTATACACAGTATTTACCTCAATTACATCAGAAGTAACTGTAATTAAATTACATATAAATGAAGAGTAATCCCTTACTTTACATTTTCAAGGGTATAATGGCAATCTTTGCTTGGCTGTACCTTTAGCCCTATATTCAATTTCATTTCTTTGCCATCATGCACAGGTAGGAGTGAAGTTTCAGTTGTTTTCTTGTCTTGTTTCCAGTTGTGAGTTGTGTGTTCTAGGTTCTAATCCGTGGTCTGGTGAGAACTGTTTGTGCTCCCTCTACCTGTGCCTTCCGTTTCCTGTCACCTTAGCCCATTTAAATACAACCATGTGCCTCTAATTACTGCCACCTAGTGTCTAAATACTAATATAAATATATCCAAACAAAAACTATCATGCAAACAATAAACATAAATGGCTCCTACACACCGGCCCCTAATTGTTTTATAACAAATAACAATTACCAAAAATAATGAAAGGAGCAATGTAGATTACACTCTTTTCAAATAGTAATTTTTAGGCCAGAGGTTCCAGTCCATGGCACCTGATTAGATCTGGTCATTGCCACCAGTTCTTGTCAAATCTCAGTCTCTTTAATCAGACATATCTTTGTTATTGGTCTTTCCAATATGTTGTTTTTTGTCTGAAGTCGAACGATACGCACAAGACCTTGTGCATCTGCTTTCGTTTCCAGTATTCTGCCCATTAACCAGGAGCCTCGTGGCGCAGTGGAGTCAACCACCACAACTATGTCACCTGGAGCAAAGTTCCTTTTAACCTTTGACCATCTCTGTCGTTCTTGTATTAAAGGTAAGTACTCCTGTGTCCACCTTTTCCAGAAGAGGTCTGCCATGTATTGCACTTGTCTCCATCTGCGCCTTAGGTATAAGTCCTCTCTTACAAACAGTCCAGGCGGTAGTATTGGCTTGGTTTTCAACAGAAGAAGGTGGTTTGGGGTGAGTGCTTCCAGGTCCATTGGGTCATCAGAAAGCTTTGTAATGGGTCTATCATTTAAAATTGCTTCAATTTCACAAAACAATGTTTGCAGTCCTTCATCATCCAGAACTTGTTGGTTAAGAACAGAGTGCAGCACATTTCGAACAATGCGGATCAAACGCTCCCATACGCCACCATGATGAGATCCTGCTGGGGGGTTGAAGTACCATTTTATTCCCTTCTGAAGCATAGCAGTCTGGATTTTGTCCTGATTCAAAGCATTGAGTGCTTCTCTCAGTTCTCTTTCAGCTCCAATAAAATTTGTGCCATTGTCTGATCTTAAAGACAACACTTGACCTCGTCGACAAATAAATCTTCGTAATGCGTGGATGCAGGAGTCTGTGTCAAGAGAATATGCAACCTCAAGGTGTACTGCCCTGCTTGCCATGCAGGTGAAGATTACGCCATATCTTTTAACAAGACTTCGTCCTCTCTTGATCTCTATTGGACCAAAGTAGTCTACTCCTACATCTGTAAATGGAGGCTTGTCTGGTTGAATCCTTTCCAGGGGTAAGTCTGCCATTTTCTGTTCACCAACTCTTCCCCGTTGTCGTTTACATACAACACAGTCTGCTATGATCCTTCTTGCTGCCGAGTTAGCTTTGATAATCCAGTATTTTTTACGGAGTCGAGACAGCATGTGATTTCTTCCTCCGTGTCCAAGTTGTTCATGGATATGTCGAAGCAATAGTGTGGATATGTGTAAGTCTTTCGAGAGGATAACTGGATGCTTGACCTCTTCAGGCATCGCTAGTCTACTCAGACGACCTCCTACTCTCAGAAGTCCATCGTCCAACACTGGATCCAGTTTGTACAGATGACTGCTTCTTTTAACACCATTTTTACCAGCCTCTAGTGTAGATAGTTCTTCTTCAAAGCTTTGTCTTTGACTGAAAGAGATGACTGCACGTTCTGCTTGCATTAGATCCTCAGGATTTAAACACTGTCTTTGGAGTGTTGCCTTAAAAACTTGCATCTCCTTTAATTGGCTGGACTCATCTTTCAAGGTACCTGCAGCAGTCTGAATCTCCTTTCTTTTTCTAGTCAGCAGCAAGATAGTTGTTTTTACTTTAAGTAGCCAAGCTACAGCTGTCATCAGACTTCTCCATGAAGAGAAATAACTTATCAGAGAGCTGGTGGGGTTTAACTGATCTTTCACAATGAGGTTGCTTGTGATTTCTTGCTTGACTTCCGGATCATTGGTAGAGATTGCAGTTTCTAAATAAGGTTTCCGCCATTCTTTGTCTGGTTGACAGAGAAACTCTGGTCCCTTGGTCCACCTCTTGCAGCTTAAGAAGCGGTTTGCTGTTAGCCCCTAGAAGCTTCATCTGCCGGATTTTCCTTTGTGCTAACATATCTCCATTGTGACACATCAGTAGCATCCCTTACAAAGGAGATCCTGTTTGCAACAAATGTTCGGAAACGTTTGGTTTCGTTGTTGATATATTTCAGCACTGTAGTGCTATCAGTCCAGAAGATGGATTTGTTCAGTTGAAGTTGTAATTCCTTCCGAAGTATTATGTCAACTTTGACGGCTAGAACTGCGGCTGTGAGCTCCAATCTGGGAATCGTTACTTGCTTTAATGGTGATACTCTTGCCTTCCCTATCATGAAAGCAACATGCACCTCTTTGTCATGGTTTTCCAGCCTAAGATATGAAACCGTACCGTATCCACTCTCGCTGGCGTCGGAAAAGTGGTGCAGCTGTGCATTTCTGATTTGACCAAAACCTTCAGGTTTAATGCAACGGTCCACTTTAAACTCTGTCATCTTGTTCAGCTCTGACAGCCATCCTGTCCACTGTTGAGAAACAGTTTGAGGTATGTTTTCGTCCCATCCAAGGTTTTTTTTACAGAGTTCCTGCATAATCAGTTTGGCTGGCAGAATAAATGGTGCTAGAAATCCTAAAGGGTCGTATATGGAGCCAACCACAGACAAGATGCCGCGTCTGGTGTATGCTCGTGGCTGTGCAGTAATTCTGAACATGAACACATCTGTTTCAACGCACCAGTGCAATCCTAGTGCTCTTTCCATCGGCAGGTTGTCCCTGTCCAAGTCCAACTCTTTTATTTCTTTGGTTCGGTTTTCTTGTGGAATGGATGTCAATACTTTACGGCTGTTGCTGATCCACTTTGACAATGTGAATCCTCCCTTCTGGCAAAGAGCAGTCAGGTCTCTCACCATAACAACAGATTCCTGTTCTGTGGACATGGATTTCAAACAATCATCAACGTAAAAGTTGTTCTTTACAGTGTCTATAACCTCTGGTGGAAAGTGAGTTTTGTTGTCTTCAGCTGTCTTTTTTAGTGCAAAGTTTGCACAACTCGGTGAAGACACTGCTCCAAAGAGGTGTACTTTCATCCTGTATTCGATGAGATCCTGCTGCACGTCACCATAAGGCCACCACAGGAATCGAAGATAGTCAACATGTTTTTCTGACACTTTGACTTGGTGAAACATTGCTTTGATGTCAGCCATCAAGGCAACTGGCTCTAATCTGAATCTGATGAGTACTCCGATGAGTGAGTTGGTAAGATCTGGACCCTGTAGCAGTTGTTCATTGAGCGATGTTCCCTTGAAGCCAGCACCGCAGTCGAAAACCACTCTTAAAGTTCCTTTCCTTGAGTGATACACCCCGTGATGAGGGATGTACCAGAGTGCCCCATCATTACGATTCAGTTGATCTACTGGTACCTTTTCAGCATAGCCATTGTCAATCATTTCCTTAAGAAAAGTTGTATATTCACAGTGAAACGTCTCATTTTTACCAAACTTGCGTTTCAGGCTTTGGATGCGCTGCTCTGCTATGCAACGGTTATTTGGCATCCTGGGATTTTCTTGCTTGAAAGGTAAGTCTAGGCAGTAATGACCATCTATGATTTTTGTTGAGTGATTCACAATATCCAAGAATTTTATTTCTTCTCTGGACATTTCCTCTGTTTCCTTGCTGGTTACTTCATTGAAGTCATGATTATATTGTTTAACCAATAGCTCCTCTAGATTCACAACAGACATTCGATTGACAGCAGCAACAGGGCAGCCATTCTCATCCCTGATGTTGTTGTCTCCTCTCAAGGGACCATAGATGACCCACCCCAGTAGGGTCTTCACAGCATATGGTCCATCCCCTTGGCTATTGACCACCTCCCAAGGTTCCAATACCTTAGAAGCATTTGTGCCAATCAGCAGGTCAA